ATTTTTATATTTATTTATTAAAAATGTTTAGTTTTAATTAGTTAAGGTTATATAGCGGAAAATACTTTAGTTATTTCCCTTTTTTTAATTTTATTATATAATTTTATTTAGTATATAATAATATTTATATACTTTTATTTAAATTAATTAGGGTTTTTTAAAATAGGGGCTTAAACTTTTAATATTATTTTAAAATATTAGCTATTAAGTTTATAAAGTCTTTTTTTTAAATTTTTTATTTTTCTCTTATAAATTCTAAGAATTAATTAAGTTTATATAAATTTTATTTTCCTTTAGTAAACCTTTTTAAAAATTAAACTTCTATAGCTTTTATTTATTTTTATTATTATTATATAAGAATTCCTTTAGGCTTAAGGAGTTAAGGTTTTTAACTTCCTTTATTTTTTTTTAATTTAAAGTTTTTTTATTATTTTATTAATAAATTAAGCTTTTACTTTATATTATTAAGGGTTTATATTAATATAACTATAGTATACCTAAGATAATATTTTATTTTAGGGTATTAATAATATTATATACTACTAAAGTAATTTAATTAAATACTTTAAAATATAAGTAATTAATCTATCTTTTAATTTATTTATTATTATATTTAAACTATTTTCCTTTTTTATAAAAGAATTAATATAGTTTCTTCTTTTATTTTTATAATACCTATAGGTATATTACAGTTACTATTAATATATAGTTCTTATTTACTTTAAAGTCTACTATAACTTTAAGTAGTTCCTTATTTTATATTATTATAAAAGTAATTTTTTTTTTAAAATACTTTTTTTTTTATTACTATTATATTTATATTTCTTTTTAAAGGATATAAATTCTTTATTAATCTTATAATACCCTTTATTTAAAAACTATTTTAGTTTTTTAAATACTAGTTTTTAATTTTATATAATATATATAATTTATAGTAGGGGTTTTTATAATTTTTTTATTTTACTACTTTATAATATAGTTTTATTTATTTAATATAAATTTTATAGGTAATTTTATTATTTTACGGATTATTTAAAGTTCTTTTAGTATTTATAATATCTTTTAAGTAACTATTTAAGTACTCCTATATATATTCTAAAGTTAAATTTAATTTTATATAATTAGTTTACTAATTATTATCCTATAGCTTATTTTTCTTCTAAAACTAAGTTATATTAATCTTCTAGCTTATACCTTTAATATTTAAGGTAGTTTAATTTATTATATTATTAATATTATTTAAAAGTATATACTTTAGTTCCTTTATTTTAATTATACTATTAAATAAGTTTTAAGGTTTAATAAATAGTATATTAATAGCTTAAGTAATCTTCTATTTATTTATTATTTCTATATTTATAAAGTATAGTTAAATAAGGTTTAAGAATTATAATTTATAATTTTTAGAATTTATAAATAACTTTTTATTTACTATACTATTCTTTATAATAAAGGTCTATAATAGGAATTATTAAATTTTATTATAGAAAGGTATTATATTTTACTTTCTATTTTAGGTAATATATATATTAATAAATAATATAATTTATCTAATAGATTTAATAATAATTATTATTTACAGGATTAATTTAAGGGTAATCTTAAGGTATTTATTAATATTTTCCTTTAAGTTTCTATATTTTATCTACATTTAGGCTTATAATAATTTATTATTTACTATTATATAGTTACTATTACGTAAGTCTATTTTAAATTTTTTAGTAAATAAAAGATTTAATATTTTATTTAAGATTATAAATATTAATTTATTATTAAAATTTAATAAGTTTATTAAGTTTTTTAGATTTATTTTTAATAAAGTTAATAATATTTCCTATTTATTTTTTATATAAGGGTAGCCTATAGTTTTATTAAGTAGTATTTTTATTTATAAAGGTTTTAACTAGGTTAGGTATAGGTAGGGTTATAAACTCCTTTATTTTAAAATCCTCCTTATACTAAGGGTAATTATTATCTTCTTATTATAATAAATTAAAGGATTATTTTTCTTTTTTTAAAAAGTAAACTTCCTTTTTTAATTTTAAAATCTTATTTTTATATTTTTTCTTAAGTATTTTATAGTTTTAAGCTATATAATTTATTTTACTATAATTATAATACTTAAATTCTTTCTTATACTATAAAATATTTAAATTTATTTTTTTAAGTTTACTACTATTATCTTTAGTAATTTCCTTATATTATTTTTTACTTTAATTAGCTTAATAATTATTTCACTAATATTATTAAATAATATTAGTCTTAAGTTTATATAGTAAATTATTAGCTTAAATATAAATATTTATAAATAAAATTAAAGTATAAGTTAATTAATTAATATTATATANTTTTTCCTTAATTTTTTATTTAAGGTTATTATAAAATTATTTAATAAGGGTTAACTTATTTTATTTAAGTTATATAGTAATATTTTAGAATTTTATAATATAATTTAAGTAATTCTTTTTTAGTATATTATAACTAAGGTATTTTTAATTATTTAATTTTTACTAATATTTTTAAATACTTTTTTTAACTTAAAAATATATTTATTATAATTACTAAAAATTTATTATATTTATTTTTTAACTTTTTTAATTAAATTTTTTAAATAATTATTTAAAATAAGCCTAAACTATTTTAAAGTAGTATCTTTAAAGTATAAAGTAATAAAGTAAACTTTTTTTTTAATAATATTAAAGGTATTTTTAAAGTTTTTAAAGTATACTTTAAGTTAAATTAAGTATAAATAAAGTTTTTTAATATTTTCTTTAAATATAAAAAGTAATTAATATTTAATAAGGATTTTAATATTAATAATCTTTAGTTTTCTTTTATTAAGTTTATTAACTAAGACTTTATTAAGTTAATATATATTTTAAATAAGTATAAAAAATTTTAAATTTTTAAATAAAGAAATATTAAGTAGGTTTATTATAATAATATTACTATTACTTTTAATTATAAATATACTAAAGTTAATAAGTAAATTATTAATAATTACTTTAGCTTTAGATATAATAGTTTATATTACTTAAAAATACTTAGTATTTTTTTAAATAAAAGTTATTAATATATAATATCTTAACTTAATATTTAAATAATATAAGGTAAATTCTTAAGGTAATAAACTAAGGTTAATTAGTTTATATTAGTAAAAAAAATAAAAAGTATTTTTAAATAAATATAATTATAAAGTAAGTAAAATATAATAAAAATTTAATTTATATTTAATTTTAATATTTTATTAATAATTATTTATCTAAGTTATTTAAAAAGTATAGAAAATTAAATTTTATATATTTAATTATTTTTAATAATTTACTTTTAAGATTATAAACCTAAGTATAAGATTACTATTTTATAAGTAATTTATTTAAGGTAGTTTATAATAAGTTTATTACTTCTGCGTTAATTAGTTCTTTAGGTAAAGTATTCTTCTATAGTATATTTCTAATATACCTTATCTTAGGTTAGGCTATAATAACTTTTATAAATTATATAATTAAGTTATATAATATAATAATACTAAAGGTTATTAAAATTATAATAAAAGTTAATAAAAAATATATATTATTAATTATAAAACTAATAAAGACTTTATATATTATTCTATTTATAATACTTCCTTAACTATAACCCTTAATTACCCTTACCCTTAACCTTATTAATATCCTTTAATTATATTATATTAATAAAAATAATATATATTACTATTAATTTATTTATTAAATAATTAATTACTATAAAATAGCCTTATTAAGGGGGTAAGTTTAATTCTTATACTAGCTATTTATATTACTAACTATAAATTTTCCTTTATAATTAGTAATATAATAATTTTTTTATATATATTAATAGCTAAAAAAACTTTATTTTAGCTACTTACTTTATATTTAAATTATATTAAATCTATTAAATAATTAAAGTTAAAGATTTAATTAATTAATTAAAGCTATTACAATGATTTAATTAATTAATTAAAGCTATTACAATGATTTAATTAATTAATTAATAGATTTAATAAATATATTTAATTTAACAGCAGCGCTGTCCAAGCAACGTCTGTGAAATAAAAATTCTCATGGTTTTCTAAACAGATAGTATATAAATATCAGATACATAAGATGCATAATAAAGCAAAGAAAGTAAATGCATAAGCATGTTATGCTTAAGTGACTTACGACTTCATTCTATTGAGATGCAAATGCATAACAATTCCAATCTCATCTTTTCTCATACTTACTAACTAGTGTATTCTTATCTAGAAGAAATATCATAGAAGCTCTCTTCTCTTTCTTAATTGTTTTGGGGGACCTCTACTGGTCGATGGTGGACTGGTTCCCTAAGTCTTGCGGAGATGTTCCTCATCTTTTTGACAGCATGCCATTGTTGGCCCACAAAGAAGACCAGTGTTATATGGCTTTTTGATCCTTGAAGAAGTATACAAAAGAGCTTATGTCGGAACGCATAGTGTCTGTTAAACCAGGTTTTTCATCTGTGGAATAGAACGTTCCAATATCATTAAAAGGCGGTTATCCCTAAAATCGTAAAGGCTCTTTAGATCAGCTGCTGCGAAGTATTTACTACTCACTATTGAGAAAGTTATTACAGGATTCTGTCCATTGAAGCGTCAGAGATGAACGTATTCTTTGCCACAAAGCCTAGTACTATTTCTATGTTAGTGAATATCTCACCTGTGTGACCTTTGGCTCCTCTTCGCCAATATCATGCCTAACATGTGAATACGATGGCTGAAGAGAAGATTTTTATACCTAATAACTAACGAAACTTATTCAGGGATGACAAAGCCATAGTCTAGGTTTTAGTAGTCTAGTGTTTTGGGTTACGAGCTTCGGCAAACTCGATGAGCGTCGGCAAAATTGATGAGCCCTCGGTATTTCCCTATATCGCTTACTTTTGAAGGCCAAATCCAACTTTATTACACCGTAACATCGTTTTCTAGGGCTACATATAAAGTCTTGCCTCGGGTTCGGTTAGGACGGACAGAGTAGTATTTGAGACTCCCAGTTGATCTTCACCGCTAGGGGGTCACCAATCTTGGCACACAACTCGCTTCCAGTAACAAGGCAAGATCGAAGACGCCACGGTACAGTGGTTTATCTTCATGCGTAAGCTTACAATGTGTCTTTTCGAGTACGTAATAGCAATATTTCCAACACGAAAGATTGCCGTTGGTATCTCCTTCTTGGAACGGCCACTTACAGGGGCAACGTTGAGTAAAGCCCCCATCAACTTGTCAGAGAAAGGGGCAAAGACAGTTGTATCAGATTCAGGAGATTGCGGAACCTCCATGGAGCATTCTGACAATGAACACATCATCTCTCCATACCCAAGTTGTTTAGCTGCTGCTCGGAAAATAATCCGCACGGGGATGGCCGGAGATGGCCGGAGATGGCGCACATCGTACCTGATAAAGGACACATCGGCAGTTGAGAGTGTCAAGGATAGTCTTCAAAAGTAGCTAAGGCATCCGATTCGTCTTACATGCTCAATCTAGATATGATCCTTTGGACCGAGTCGTTGTTGCGGGTACAAAAACTGCATCACACAGATTCATCCTGCACCAAAACGTTTATGTGTCTTCTGGTAAACTCCCCCCAAAAGGAGACTAGGGCTTTAGACATAATTGGAGCGGCTATTTACCCATGATATGTAGCACGACGTGGCAAGAAAAGGTACCTGAAGTGGCAATTCTTCAGCAGGAAGCTCTCCAATTTCGTCAGGTGCCTTAGTCTCACATGCCTCAACACAACTTTTAGCACGTACCAGATTATCTCTTGTCGAAGATAAGAACTGGGTCATTGGGAAGAGATATTGATATGCCTTGAGGAATAATCGAGAGTGCGAATATGTAGCTGCTAGTATAGTACCAACACCAATGAGGGCGCCGATCATAATGGGCTCCAAGGATGAGATAGTGTATTGCCAACTATGATGTTATAGTGACTTCATTTTGCCGTAGTAGCGAGCAGAATTACGGTGTGATCTGAATCGAAAAAAGAGAGCGAACATTTTTGTGTCTTTCATGCGGCGATACTCACTTTGAAAAGGATTTAAATGCTGGCATATTCAGAATGGAATAGTCAAAGCCGCAAGTGTAATTATCGCCTTTAAATACTGCAGACGTCTCCACCCATTGTACCCACTGTCGGAGTCTTTTTCGTATTCTCTAATTTCTCATTCACGGACAATTAATCTCATCTCCTACCCATGCAACCAAGTGCTCTCCTGGTGAAGTGGCTCCTCTTTGCTGACTTCAATAGCGGTGTAAATTCATCCCATGTAATCTCCTCTTTAAGGCAAGACCTATTACAAACTAGCATGGACAATCTGTTCAGCAGCTGTCGTGAACGCCATGCATTGGAGATGCGCCCTTCTGATCGACATGCAGGCATCTCAGCCCCATCCGTATCCGCCGTTTCCTAATAGGTATATGCAATACTCCTAATTAATAAATTAATACGCCCGGAATCAAGCAGGGCAACGGAACGATACTGATAACACTGAATTGTCCCACAGTTAGGAGCGGTTGAAGTCAACCCACCCTAACTTCCAGTTTGGGAAATTAGTGGCCAATCAGGTTGTTAATAACTAGGTAATGTTGACAATCTTCACGTCTCATTCAGGAGTGAAAAAATTGAAAGTATTGGAAATACAGGAGCAACACTTTAGTACTAGTGTTCTCTTAATATATTAAGTATTAGTCACTACCTAAGTAATACTAATACTGAAATTCCCGTCCCATGTACGGAGCAAATAAGCACATCATCTTAGTTGTGCCTAGGGCGGGTATTGACAAACGGTCCAAAGTATCCCTGTTTATCGATCTGACGTGCATAGCCAAGCCTAGGTGGCGGTCCGCATTGACAGCAAGGGACTAGGGCCTCTTACAGGCCAGTATTACGGAGTGCAGGAAGCAAATGTTTCCATCATTGCTACCGCGATACTTTGCGCATACGAGGCTCCACGTGAGATGGATCCTTCTACAACATCAAAACAGCCATAGCATAGAATTGGCGGCAGGGATTTTTGCTATAATTTATTTACATATAGCATTCAGCCCAATGCTCCAAATTTCTCAGTGTATTATTATTAGATTACAAGCTGAGCCGCGAAATTACCGTCATAATGTCTATTCCAGAGGACCCGCTAGAACGTCGCCGTCTGCAGAATCGCATGGCCCAACGCCGTTTCCGATCTCGCCAGAGTATGTGCAACTCTCACAATGAAGCGTCTCTTATTGTTTTTCCAATATCTTACCAACTTTAGAAAATCAAGAGCAACGAAATGCCATTGAATTGGCCACTCAGCTGCAAAGTGCCGCAGCCTCACTGTATTCTGAGTCTGTAAATATGGAAGGCCGCCTAGAAGACTTTTCAAGCACAGCAAACGCAGGACACGATGTATCATCGCTACGCGGAAGCTACTCTGCCTCTTTGAACGGCGTAGGAGGGATTCATGACAGTTTTTCGCTATTTGATAGCAATAGCAGGCATGACCATTTCGTCGGGTTGGATGCAAATGGAAATTGTATACCATACGCCCTGTCAGAACCAGTACCCAGTACGATATCAACGTCTCCCGGTAACTCATCCCCTCTCGATGTCCTAGGATCGGGCAGGATGCAACATCGCAATTCATCACCAGCCCACTCGGACAACTATTTCTCGTCTGAGGATCACCTGTTGGAATCCGCAATCATCGCAACCAACGATCTGATGAAGACAACTAACTTTGGATCACCAGATCTATCAAGTGCAGATGCTAGCCCAAGGGCCAGTGATTCTTGTGCTATGAGCGATCCCGGCTGGCTTAGCGCTCTGCACATGGCGGCGAGGCGGGGCCATGGAGGGATCGTACGTCTATGTAAGTGGCCCCTCGAGATCGAAGTAACCCGCAGTTGCAACTGTGCGGGCTTGTCTTCTCACAATACACGTACCCATTAAGCCTGCTACAAACCGTTTAGCGAAAAGAATCTCTGAGCCAGAATGACGCTGACTTTGGATGCTATAGTACTGCAGAATTGTATGGATACCAATGAGCCAGACAGCGATGGCCTAACGCCACTGATGCATGCGGCTGCAGGCGGCCATGAGGAAGTCGTCGGCCTGCTGTTGAGCCATGGGGCTCGGCTCGGGGATCGAGACAACCGACGGCGGTCGGTTTTGCACTGGGCTGTGCTTACATACAGAGAGGCTGTACTTCGACTGCTGCTCAAGCATGCCGCCACCGACGATCCTCTTTTGATTGACGCCTACGATGAATCGGGCTGCAGTCCCCTGCATGCGGCAATTGACTCAGGATTCGAGATTGGCGTCAGCATATTGATGGAGTTCGGCGTCAACATACACTCCAGGGCAAGGAAACCCTGAGGCCTCTGGGATACGGCGTAGCCAACCAGCGGCTCAATCAGCAAACCATACGAAACTAGGCTGCTCCAAATGAATCCATCACCACGGCATCTTTTATCTGAATCCCTGTTATCGCCACCATGATCCATCTCTCTTTCATTCTTTGACCCCTTTCCGCCTCTCACCCCACGCTGCACAAAGAGAGGGTGGGAAATTCTCTCAGATCGTTTGAAGAAGCAACTACTGAATGAAGCAACTCCGCATCAGCCTCTTCAGGAAGCGGCTTGAGGCACAAATCGAGATGGATCTCCGCCTTGTTCAAGACAAATCTTATCACCGATGTCTCGGCGGAAGTGGGGCCGGTCCGCGGATCTCCGGATAGTGGGACCTCCGGTACCTGGTCGTACCTTATTTACAGGTACAGCCGAGCCATGAGGACAAGCCAGGATCTACGCTTAGTGAAACGTCTAGTGGCGGCTCTCGGGTGATTCGGGTACCATAGCAGTGCTAAAAGCACTTGGACCGGAGAGTCTGCCACGGAGAATAAGCGGTCCCGGTAGTGCCGGTGTTTATGTGCCGGCACTAGTAATGGCGCCCGGCAAAGGGACGAGAGTTGGACATTTCACTCGTCTAAGCAGTTAGAAGGGAATTAGAGTACGAGGACATGGCTGGAAAGGAAGGACAACGCAAGTGAAGAAGGGGCCTGGAATACCAAGAATCGTTACTTAGTGGGGGTTCATGCGTGATTACGAAGGCTAATGCGTGCTTACTCTATCCCACACAATATAATAGTAGCCTACGTCCACGATATTCGCCGGCTTGGCCCGTGTATGTTTTTTTAGTACGCGACTTGAAGTTAGACGATTCCATATGTATGATTTTCAAGCCATTTGACGAAAGAACTGCCAAATGTGATACCTGATAGGCACCTAATCCTTCGTAACCGGGACTAGCAAATTGGAGGGGATGTGCAGAATGCTAACGCGATTAAATTCCGCCAAGATACATGCTCACCTCAGATGGACCAAACCCGATATAACCGTGATTATGGTTAGTAACATCTCCCTTCGCTTTTATTTGCTTCGCCGTAATGGCCTTCGCTTGTACACCGGGCTTGCCGGGCTTAAAAGGCCGGTTCGCCCCCGGACTTAACTCCGCTACTCATAGACGATGTGTGCCACGTTTTTGATTAACCCTGTGCCGCTGATCAATTTACGATAGGGCGGGGCGGAGAACAGGGGTTTCCATATACATATCAACGTGGAAACTCCGTGTGTTGACCTCTAATTGGACACCCTGATCTACTCAACAAACCCCTGCCAAGTTCTCCTACGGTGTTCCGAGGAAGCGGTTGGCAAAAAAAAAAGACAAGGACCGCAAAATGAATATGTGCACACAGTTACATAATAAGAGCACTAATACGGGAGAGTTTACTCCGTAGTGCCGACCTTCTGTGCGTGTTGTGTGTTTAGTGTGTCGATCCTTTCTCCAGTCTGTTTTGTTGCAAACCGCTTGCCGGGTTAGACAAGCCCCCAGTATCTCACACCACGTGTTTAAAAAAACCGCAAATCAACATGAATTTGCCGAAGAGTCTTGATTTCGTCATTGTGCATTATATGCAGCATTCGTTGTCAAGGCATATTTGTCAGATGAACGGCAGCAAAGTGCCTCGTGGGGACTTGATGCAGCTGGGCATGCTCGTACATTCAATAAACAAAAGAACCCAGCTGAATCCTCATCTCAAAGAGGCTGAATATTTCCAAATCCTCCTATGGTAATACGCCACAGATATTGCCGCGGCATGCGTGCTAGAGCCGCACCTCATCTCGGCGTTTCGCATGCTGACTGGCGGGATCTGTTTCAAGATGCAACTAAGAAGTCCGCAGATAGTATTACCGCGCAATATCTGTTACGTCCGACTATCTCGGTACGGCCATTTTGCGCTGACCCATCGTTGTAGGTGCAGAGCGGGTGGGGGGTGGAAAGATTTCCACCATGCACATATTTTGCCTGTAATCGAAGCGAAAAGCCTTTTCCCGGGGCTATGCAACGTACCCTCTTTCAGATCCTTGTTTTAGAAAAATCTCAACTCCAAGGACATGTAAAGAGGCCAGATGCATCCTTTCAGCTAGCTGCAAGTGATTAACTTGTCTCTGATTTGATAATGCTGAGCTTTTATGTCGTAAATGATTGCTAAAGCAGGCTAGATCTTTACCCCTGCAGTAGTAACCGTATTGTTGAGGATGTCACAGGGTCGAGGTCCGACATACGAATACACATTCTAATCTTAGGTAGTGAGACTCACTTTTATAGCCATCCCAAAGTCGATTCTTAGGGAGGCAGCGTCGCAGTTTCTCTCCAGAAAAATAGCCGAGCGAAGGGGACTTCTTCGTTTGTTCAGAGAGGAATCAGCCCTAAGCTCTTTACAGCTAAGACAACTCATCCGAATGTTAGTGCGATCCAGCATCGGATGTAGCTAGTAGCTATATCCGTTGTAATCACTTCGGAGTGCAATGATGGCTCCGGAGACGAAGATCTGACAGAGATCAGGAGGAGGGCATAGAGGGTATTTAGTGAAAAGGAAATTGTGGTCATTGTTATTTTGCCTGCCTGTGAGCTACCGTTGGGGATGCCACACACTCCACAAAAGACGTTGCACTCCACAAAATCCCGCTGAATCATAGGCATCCCATCCCTTATCCATGGCATTGTTCTAGCTGGGAGGACTCCTGTCACCCGGCCTTGATAGGACCCTTGAGGATCAGGAGAAGGATCCACTAGTACGCGCATGGGGAGCAGGTTTCATGTGACAGAGTCACTTTTGCAACCTTCTCCAATGCCAATCCTCAAGAGGTGCGTCTGATCGGCCGGAGCGGTCGCTTAGAATATGCAAGTCAGACAGGATGAACACCAAAATCCACAAGGACGGGGGTTCTGCAGAAAATCTCTATATAAATGACAAGTCAGTTGACGAATGAGTACATTATCATCTCATAACGGCGGATTTCACAGCCACGATGAAGCACGGTGGAACTGCAGTGTGTCAAATAGCCCACTCACAGATTCCCGCCTGCAGTGTTACATTATCTGGTTTCCTGTCGACCTAGCCAGTTGGAGTATTACAGCTGACAGTAGTGGCAGATCCCAACTGAAGAAGTTGTTGCCCCCATTCTGCAAGAGATGCGCAACAGCATCCTCGTCTCCCTCACGCGGGAGACAAATTATACAGGCTTTGGGTGGGGCTATTCTAACGGTCCGTCTCATCATACCTACCTGTAGGTCATATTCTGGTTGAACTCGGAGTAAGCGAAGTGGGGATAGCATATCCAAGTATTGTTGATTTTACGAGGGGCGGGAACTACTCAGCCGTGACGATCGGGGAGTTTTGCGAGCGTGGCAGGAGGTTAGTGTTGCTACAATCAGGAGTCTCCGGTCACTCAGGCGCAGTCTCGTTAGCTTCTGGAAAGATCACCTCTCACAGATTTTGTGAGTGGGCTCTTCTTATCGGCGGGCTATTTCTAGGCAGATAACATTGCATTATCTAGATATCCATCTCCACAAAGAAGGTAATGATCACGGCGCTAAAGTAACACTAAGATCAAAGATGATAGCTCTTCGCATTAGACCTGAATGCCGTTGGAACAACTCAATTGCTTGTTCGACGATAAATAGGCAGATATACAGTCCCAGGATTCATCGACATGCTCGAGAAAGAACAACGCTTCGTCTCTCCCCTTTTTCTCTCCGAAGTATTGTAGATCTCTAGGTTAAGGAAGGGGCAAACTCACAGATCATCTCGGAATCATCTCGGAATCATCTCGGAGTCTAGGCAATTTTCGTTTGGCTGCATGTGCATTTATTGCTGTCCAATGATGGCCGTCCAGAATGGCTAGTTTGGACAGCCTACTCGTGAAAAGTGACTTATTCGGCGCAATGGGTGGGGGTCCTGCATTTGATGAAGCACGATGATGATAACTTCTACCATCTGGGCTAATCTCGGTCAATATATCTCGGTCAATATGCACCGGATTTTACGTCATATGGCTTGCCATGAGTTTGGCAAATCTTGTCAGCAATTCTTTAGAAGCGTATTCTCTGCTGCCTACTCTTACACGACAAGGATTGTGCCACTAATCATTACACATCATCTTTGAACATGGCCATTCCACCAATGGGGGGTTCAATACTACACTTTGAAGTACGGTGCCATACGTAGGTTATAGATTAGAGCCCTGCAATCACATTCCTTCCCATATACCTTCAATCAGATCACGAAGCGCGCTCCGTGATTCCCTCCACGACTCGCTACGAATGGCAAGCAAAGAAACCGGGGTATTGTGCCATCCACAAGCATATTCTAACGGTGATCTTCGGGTAAGCAAGGATGTTTCTCCGTCAACGCTGTGGGGGGTCATGGATGTGTGGATCAGGCGCTTCGCTTCGTAGGCAAGATGAGCTTGCGGAACTTTCGATTAGCTGCCGAAGTACGGAGTAGAGTTACAGCCCGTTAACCCGTAGAGGTAATATTCGCAAGGTAAAACCTTGGCATTTCCCAGTCGGCCGTACCGTCTGTGTTGTTTTGGAAGTCGATGACATCTCGCAATTCCATGGACGCTCAAACAAAATCTTCGCCTTGGCACACACGCGTACCAGTTGTTTACTCAACTCGGAATCTTACACATACCGATCCCAGCTAGAGTTTTAGTCAATGCTAGCATTCATATGTTTTGGCAGCACTTGCGTTAGATACTTCTAATGGTTACCAATTTCTGCTAGTGTGGGAAACACATTCCGTGTTCTGTACATGTATTCCTTTCAATTTTTACCTTGGCGGTTGAATGCTATAGCCCTGTCCGATCCTACGTTAGATTGGCCAATAGCTGAGGAGAATCCAATCGTTGTTCTTGGCTACTGATGCCTTGCAAAAGCACCTATCGGCTCAACATGAGTAGGTAGTACTGCAATTCCTCTTGTCGTATTCAGCGGTTGATCTTGGA